TCACTCGTCCCAAAGGGTCCTCACAACATCTAGCTTGTTATACATAATTCACCACAAAGTTGTGCGCAGAGCCGACCAGTCTATCTGCCTGCTTATTTCCCAACATACCGGCATATCCTGGAGAAAATATACAAAGAATGCTAACTACCTGGGACCTCTGAAGTGATGCCTGCCACTCTGCACAAAGCACGCCTGTCTTTACCTTTCTCAACATGCTCTGTGATTCAGTTACAATCAATGCATGTATGTACAGAATGAAGTGGTTTGGCCATCTACTAAAAATGCACCCAGACTAAACTGTAATGAGACCCTCCACAGCAGAAATTTAGGGCAGAAAGCAAAAACAAAAAATGAACGAATTTTATTTTCAAAGAGTCACACACTGGGCATGCAGGCCCTTCTTTAATTGGAAGATTGGAGATGAGATGAACAGACAATGTAGCTAAAACCTGCACATACAAACAGATGAACTTATATATCACTCAAGTTTTTTTTATTAATGTTAGTTTAACTACTTGTCACATGCTATCTGTTAATTTAACTTCTTCTCTTCAACCTTGTACCTCATCGAAGTGTCGGGGGGAGATGTAATGTTCGTTGATGAGCTCTATCAAGAGCACTATTAAGACCGATGTTCATTTCTGTAAGGCTGTTCCTAATGCCATCACTCCATCTTTTCCGAGGTCTTCCACTCGCTCTATACCCGTTGTAACGTTTTAGTGTGGCTCACTGTGGCGGATAGTACCAGGGCATTCTTGTTAGGTGTCCAAACCACTTCATTTGTTGTTCTTTGATGACCTGTAAGACTGGCTTTATTCCTAGCATTCGTCTAATTTTCATAATTTCGTTTTTAATGTTTCTTTCCTTGAAACTCCTGCAGCTCTTCTAAGGGATTTCATCTCTGTTGTCACAAATTTTACGTTCATTGGAGGATGTAAGTGTCCACGTTAGGCATTGATAGCATAGTGTTGGCCAAAAAATAGTTCTGATAAGATTCACTTTAGTACTCCGAGGTATCTGCTTGTGTGTCAACAGGGAGATAATTGACCCATTACTTGATTAGCTTTGGCACATTCTGGAGCTAATTTCTCTGTCCAGTTTTCCCGTCGGATGTAAAAAATTGCTCCCAAATACTTAAATTCCTGTGTTTGTGGCACAGGGTGTTGTTTTTTAATTTAATTTCTAAATTGTCTTTATGTAGATTTATCATCATTGTCTCTGTCTTCATAGTGTTTATTTTCATATTATATTCCTCCCCTTTGTTACTAATTTGATTTAAGTGGTTCTGTAGGCATTCCGTATTTTCTGCTATGAGTACCTATTCATTGGCGAAGAGTAATTCTGTAATATCTTCTTCATGATTAAAGTTTTTTTCGCTACATATGGTATCCATGTATGTTATAAAAAGAATTTAACTATTTGTTCTACAAAAATTACTACTTTAAAGTAACAATTTGGCTATCCTCCGAATAACGGTCCCAAATTATGGAGGCCGAAAATATACCCCAACAGGGCCTCAGTCATATGTAAATTGCTGACCTCTTCCAGCGACTATACAGCATACCGCGAAAAAGCTTCTGCTGAGTTAAAGTCACTGCCGAGAGTATCTCCTGCGCCCCCATGCTCGAAGCAGGACTAAACTAGATGGCTGGGACTCTCAAGCAGCAGCTACCGCCTCTCATGCAGCTTCCTCCATTTTACTTGCTCGTGAGTCCCAGGCATCTAGTTTAGTCCCGCTCCGCGCGTAGCGCAGCGGGAGATACTTTCAGCGTTATGCTGTGTAGTCGCCGAAAAAGGTCCGCAATTTACATGTGACTGAGACCCTGTTAGGGTATATTTTCGGCTCCGATAATTTGGGACCGTTATTCAGAGGATAACCAACAATTTAAATGACAGAAAGTGTTTAAGAAGAGACATGTCAAAATAGCTGCACTGTTTTATCTTTCTAAAAAAAAAATTTCATTTATCAGATAAAAATATAGAAATCACCAATTCAAAAGAAATAGATATACATACAAAACTGACATAACCAAAGATATGTGCTTTTAAGTTAAACCTCAGACAATGTGACATCTAAAACACATAGGTGACTAAAGACTGACACACAAAAATGACTCATAAAACATTGAGATTTCTAATGTTCAACTTGTAAGAACAACCCACCAATGAGGCGCTGCTTTTCCATAAACACATCAAAGTCTTTACTGATGAAAGAAATGTTGATTCTGTTTAGCACATCATAATTCTGTGGTAGATTCAGTTTCCCACTTTTCTTGGATGTATCTAAAGGCCGTGTTCCTGCAGAGATGTTTACAGTCCGTATATCATAACTAGTTTTGCACAGGAGATAATGTATTAATGCATGTATAGGCTGCACCACATTTCTGAGACGATAATTTAAGGAAAAAATAATTTGCCTAGATTTTCCTAAATAGTAATACCACCAAGCAGTGAAAGATGTGTCAAGTAAGAGCAAGTTACAATTGAAAATTTAAGTTGCACATAGTGCATCATTTGCAAGTGAATTTAAAGCCAGTTATGGCTTGGCAAGGCATAAAATAACCTCATGATTTGGTGTTGGACAACAATGGCACCGCGGCTTCCTGATACCTACCAAGAGAAACTGGTTACAAAGGACACACAGCTACAGCATAGGGGCAAAAGAAATGCAGATGAAACTCATTTATTATTAAATTTTGTACACGTGACATGTAGGCACATGAATGAAACACAACTGCAAGAAATGATGGACATAACTGTAACTGAAAGTGAAAACAAAGGTCTTAGTTTGAACAGCAGAAAAACAGAAGTAATGGTAATTACAAAGAAAACTGACCCTCCAAAATACAATATCAAAGTAAATGGGCAAACCTTAAGCAAGTTGATATGTTTAAGTATTTTGGTACTCTCATAAAATCAGATGGAAGATGTATCAAGGAAGTTAAATGTTGAATAGCTCAAGCAAAGGCAGGATTTTTTTACAAAATGAAGAATATTTTAAGCAATCTTTCTTTGTTAATTGAAATGAGAAAAAATATTATTAAAAGCTTTATAAATTCTATACTGATTTACGGATGTGAATCAGGGATAGTTAGTAAAAGTGAAAACTTATTTGGAAGCTGTAGAGATGTGGTTTTATAGATGAATGATGAGAATAATCTGGACGGATAAAAAGAGAAATGAAGACATTCTGAAAGAAAAATGACTCAAGAAGAGAACTGATTGCCCAAATCAGAAAGAGACAATCTACATTCTTTGGTCATGTGATGGGAAGGAGAAAACTGGAGTACATCATGATGGTAGGAGAGTTTGAATGGAGGAGAATGAGAGGGAGAGCGAGAGAACAGATGATAGACAGTTCGACATCATGACATGGAAGTTCATCTGTGTCTGAGTTGACTGAAGTACACGAGACAGAAGGTTGTGGTTACACATGACTACCAACGTCACAGGGCATGGACTTTAAAGAAGAAGACATATAGGCCTAATATTGCAAATATAAGCTACAACCCATTCTTAATTAATGATTTTCGGATAAAATTATGTGGCCTATACTTGTGTAAATACAGTATTCACATGTAAGTACACACTCAGTTTAGATTAGGTTACTACGCTTCTCACTGTCTTCACTGCAGGTGATTGTAGCTTCATCTGAGCATTTTACCTGTAAAATAATTAGCTCATTCAGTAGCAAACAACTCCAGCATGTGAGTAGATATTACACACATGTACCAGTAAACAGGCTATATATGTCTAGCCAGGGCACTCCTACAACATATTTGTTTCATACAAGCTCCTATATTCAGTATTTAGCTCCTGTGGAAGTAGTATACCTACGAGTTTGTTATGGTCATTTTATGAATGAACTTAACAGAAGCCAATGAAAAGATCCTACTACAGTCAATATCTTTCTAACAAACCTTTGCAGCATGCAATTTACTAGTAAGTCCCCATCTAGCAGTATTCTCCTTAACTCTTTAAGGACGGCATGTTTTCTGGGGTTTGGACAGCATTAATTTTGAGCGGAATTTTTTTACAGCAACATAACAAAGCTAAAACGGTCCTGTTGAAAAACTACTGGCTGTATAGTACCATGTAATACATCAAATTAAAGAGAAATGAATGCAGAATGCATGTAAACTATGTAAGGGTTAGTATCGCAACAATAACATTCAACAGTGACACCACATTAGAGGATTTTAGACCCAAAACAAATATTTTAGACATGCAATGTTGTTCTTACCTTATTCTTTTACTTGTTCAGCAGCATAGCTATCGATCTCTAAGAATTCACATGCTTTCTCTATTCAATTATGCATCAGCTAGTCTTTCTTTGAAACAATTATTCCAAATACTTTAAATTTTATCATTATTTTTGTCTGACGCGTCAAATTTTAAAACTACAGGGAAAAAAATATTTACATATATATAAGGACAATTCCAGTGACGACTTAAGACTCTATTTATCTGACAATGTTTATGATACTGATCTTGAATACAGCCACCTTACTGTGATATGCCCTAAAACATGCATTGGGGCACAGATGAGGCTTGTCAGCACATCCAACGCAGTAAAACCTGCTGCGTTTTCGAATCTTTTTCTTGCTGCACCAGCATAGTCAACTAAATGGTCTGCTCCAACAAAACTGGCAGACAAGGCTGGCCTTTTGCCTGGTCTGCGAGCCACAGCAATGATCATGTCTGTTGGAACTTCATGACCTGAGAGCGCAGTTAGTTGCTGGATGAGCTCGTCTTTAAAATGTGCGAGACTCATTCGCTTGGGGGCAGCCTGATGGGATGACATGTACAATATGTGAGCATTGACCTGCGTCACTTCCACGATCCACGTAAAAACCTTTTTCCACCACTTCTTAGTTTTGCGATTGTGGTTACTATAGTACGAGACCATTTGATCCAAACGATCACAGCCATTCATACTCATATTGTATGAGTGCATGGGGCTAGGTTTCTGAACCTTTCGACTCCCTTCCTGGCGCTCCTCAAATGTAGAACTTCCATTTGTGGTCAGTAGGATGCAAGGTTTTTTTGGATTTTTTATCCCTCCAGGAAACGCAAAGGATATTCTGCTCATTATTAACTAACCATCTCTGAGTTCCAAAGATGGTTGGTTGTTGTTTTAGCTGCTGCGGCAATCCTTTGCGGTTTTTATTCAACTTGCCAGTATAATTCAGTTTCATGGATAAAAGAAATTGAATGAGAGGGAGTGATGTATAAAATCTATCTGCAAATAGATGATGGTAACTTTCAACACCCTGTAGCAGGGTTGAAAATACCTTTACAGTGTGAGTTGATGTTGGATCAAGCTCAGGATTGTAGGCAGTTTTTGCTCCAAAGTAAATTAACAGATTATACATAAACATAGCCTGTGATTGAATCACAAAGACCAAATGTCTTTATATGATACTTGTGAGGCTTGGCTGCATTGTACTGTTTAGCAAGAAACCTGCCTTTGAAACCAATCACCATCTCATCAACAGAAAGATTTTCATATGGGTAAAATGCCGACTGAAACTTTGCTGCTAGATTATTCACAAATGGGTCAATCCTTGCTTGTCCTTGTGCGTTGGGTTCTGATGCATGCAGCATTGACTGGTAAACGAGCAAGAACTTAGTTCTTGGAAACATTACCTTAAATCATTGTGTGAATTTGTGGTTCGCTGTAGACCAGTAATCTTTGATGTCATGTTTCGGTGTAATTCCCATTGCTATCACTACACTCAGAAACTGAAAAAAATCTCCTCTAGTCATTGGCTGCCACTCAGACAATGTAGATCTTTTTCTCAGTGGTATATTTTTCTTTATTTTTTCCACTGCATAAAGATTTATGTTTTCAACAAGGCTGTCAATTATATCAGCTGTCAGCAGTGTCAATAAGCAATCCAGTTATGTCAAATTTTCATCCAGTGGTGCCTGAATTCCAGACCCAGCTGATCGAAACAGGGACGATCCGATCGAAACATTTTCTTCAGCTTCATCCCAAGCCATAACGTCAGCAACAGATACTGCACGTGCATTATCATTATTTTTAAGGTCAACACTCTTGTTGTCACTATCTGGCTCAGATTCATCAACGACAGCAGCGGTATGGGCAGTTCTGTAGGCTTTGTTATTGTTCTGCTCTCCCTTACCCTTACTGTTTAGTCTGGCGTGTTTTGCAGCAGATGGCTGATATTCTTGATCGTCACCATCTACATCATTGTCAGATAATTCCGAATCTAAGTTATCATCACTACTAGAATTATCTTCTTCATCTAACAACCGCTGCATAAGATCTAAAGCCTGCGTTTTTGTCATTCTTTGAGCTCTATCCACAGTGGATGTCGAAGGGTTGGAAGTTGCCATTTCAGAAAACTCACCAAAAAAAATTTTATCGCTTAGAATCAATCTAAAACAAATCACAAAGTTGTAAACACGCCACGCTGATCTTCGCAAAAACTGGTTCATAAAAGTTCGTTTTACCCACAAACGGAACAAAATTAGAGTGTCTCTATCGCGAGCCATTTAACTGGTTTTTCGTCAGTGAGTAATGGTCTTGGAAGTCCAGTAAACTGGCGATTCGTCCTTAAAGAGTTAAAATCACATTCATAACCTATTTAATGTACACACAAAAACTCCCCTACAATTTCTTCTAACTAATGCAAAAAACGAATATATTGCAAAACAAGTTTAATAATCAGTTAATAAAAAAACTCACCTTTAGATTTTCCCGCTTGCTTGCGCTGAAATTCCTGAAACCGGGTCACAAAAGCCCAAAAATCTTCATACTCCTGGCCTCCTCTGAAATGTTATATGCTATTTTGAGGAAACAGTACAAGCACACTTACACACACCATTTGTTAATAACAAAGATATGTAATAAAGCTACACAAGTATATTGGACAACATGCCATCTACTTTTCAAATATTAATATTCAGATTGTTTCACTGCCTTCTTCTGACATGTCTCTGCCTTAAAGTGGGAGAGGAGCTCTTTTGTTCCAATGACTCTTAAGAGCTATGTCGACCGTAGCCTAGATACTGGTAGACTCTCCTATTCTGAAAGATCAAGGGGTAGGGACCAGATAAACAGAGATATAAACCTGACACCTTGAAATGAGACTAGGGACAGTCAAAAGCTAGAGGAAGCAAACCACCCAAAAAATGGTTGTCAATATTGGTGGTACTCAGTTCTGGCTTGATGAAATTGTATGACTAAATCGTTTTATCATAATGATAAAATTGTGTTACTAAATCATTTCATCATAATGATGAGATTTTGTGACTAAATCATTTCATGATAATGATGAGATTGTGTGACTAAATCATTTCATGATAATGATGACACTGTGTGACTAAATCGTTTCATCATAATGATGAAACCATGTGACTGAAATGTTTCACAATAATGATGAGATTGTGTGACTAAATCATGTCATGATAATGATGAAACTATTTGAAAAGGCGCAATTTTATTCCTGGAAACAACACTACACCAGAGCTAAAACACAACAAAATATGTAAATATAATATGAGTTTAAAACATAATGCCATAAACTAAACACAAGCAACAGATCAAACCAGTACACCAAGATGAAGATGCAAGCATTTTGTGCTTTATATTCCAGTAATGACAGAGCACTAGCTATTAGTACAAATGGCTGTGAAACATGGACATCAACAGCTGAACTTCAAAGAACGATACAAGCATTAGAAATGTGATGTTTCAGAAAAATTCTTGGCATATCATACAGAGACCACATTACAAATGAAGAAGCTTGCCATAAAATTATACAGCATATTGGCAACTATGAACCTCTTTTAACTACAGTGAAAAGGTGAAAAACGTAGTGGTATGGACATTTAATAAGATCAAATGGTCTCTCAAAAACAATACTGCAGGGTTCAGTAGAGGAAAAGAGGAGAAGAGGCAGACCAAGAAAGACCTGGCTATAGAATCTGACTGACTGGACAGACCTCAGGCATGCAACCATTAAGTCCATCGCAACTGACCGCCAAAGGTGGAGAGAGCTGATCAAACATTAACCGAAAATGTTATGGGATGATGATGATGATCACAGGTTTATTTACAAACTGCATTAATTAGTTTTTAGGCGTACACTTGTTAGGTCCCAGGGGGTTTTGCTGTAATGAAACTGATCCTATCAGCTTGATTCATTTGTGTTCCTGTGTGTGTTCAGGAACCCCATTTTTGTTGACAAGAAAGGATAGACCCAATTACCCAAAACATGCTTGTCCTAAGCTTGTCACAGATATCACAGCCTAGCTGTAAACCACAACACAATGTGCCAGCTGTCTCTTTAAGGGCAGATATAGGTAAAGGGGAAGAATCATATGTAACCTTTAGCACCAATTAATAATCTAAACCGATAGTCATACACACTGATAATGAACAGGAAATGAAGAGTTAGTTACTCAAATATTTTTTTGTAAATTGTATGCTATCAGTTGCAAAAATGGATTCTTAGTACAACTAACAAGCACAAAATCACATCAACAAAGATGAGACATCTTAGAAGAACTGCCGAAGTAATTGGAAGAGATCAAATTAAAAATGAAGAAATTAGGAGAAGACTAGAAATAAAACAAGTCATAAAGTTGATTAACTCTTTCAATCACAGTGCATTCATTGGTTTATGCATATATGGTACATATTTCTTTACTTTTTACATCCCATTGTCTTGTTATGTTACCCCATTCTAGCTCAATTACCACTATAACTTCTTCTGCTTCTAAGGTGCACTTCTCAAAAACATAAGATTTAAAAAAATCTTGTGCTCTAAAGTACAAAAACTTTAGGACAGACAGCACTGAATTGTTAACCAGAACAATAGATGAGATGGTGTGGTCGTCTGTCAAGAATGCCTAGCTACCAACTGCCACAGACAGTCACGATGAAGAAATATAATGAACGCAGAGTGAGGGTAAGATCACATAAAAGATGCAACAACAAAGAAGATCAAAGTACACAATGGAAAAGACAAAAAAGAGCAAACAGGAGATTGAATCTCCCCCCAACACGTTCATGATGTAGCTGGAGGGAGAGAGGAAGAAGAATAAACAAAGTAAACAATATAAGCCACAAACTTTATAAAAATAAAATCATTATACATTTAGTTAAACATGTGGGTTCTGGAGCCCCACTGTGCACACACACAAAAACAGAACAGACCCACCGATTCCCCAACAAGCATGTCATAGGAGTTGACTAACTGGGAGCTTCCTTCAAAGTTGGAGTACATCTCCTCAAGAAAAAACTAATAAGCCAATAAAATGGATGTACATGCAAAACTCAGGCCCTGGTACAAAGCCAAAGTCCCAGTGGACAAACAGCCAGGACTTTCTGTCACAGCTTACAGTCGGTAAACAAAGAAGAAGTTAAAAAGATGTCTCCCCAGTGTGGGTTCCGGGGCCCCATTGTGGGGAAAACAAGAATAGACCCACTGCCTCCCCAAAAGCATGTCGTAAGAGTCGACTAATTGGGGAGCTTCCTTTGAAGTCGGAGTGCATCTGCCGGAGAGGCAAGGAACCAACAGTCTGTATTCAAGAGAATGAGATCTGTAAAACTGATGCACACGCAACACTCAGGTTCTGGAGCGGGACTGCAGTTCAGTAGTGGACGATCAACCAGAACGTTCCGCCAGAGTGTACAGCTGGTGAACGCGAAGAAGAAGAAAAAGATGTCTGACTAGCAAATTTAAATAGTATACTGATAATAACTACTGAAAAGGCAATGCATACCTTTCGGCCATTTTCAGAAAGTACCCCTCTCGGAAGAAAATCTTGCTTAAAGAGCGCTTGTACTTAGAAAAGTCAAAGCTGAAGTCAAAAGCTCTCTTTTTTGTTTCACTGCTACTTGCGACTGTATCTTTCACTTGTTTGACTTCAGTGTGTCTGACTATCGAAGCAATATTCTTGCTGGCACCCTTAATTCCCTCATATTCTTCATTGTCTTTTTCACTAGCACTACTCATGTCACTTTGGGTGTCAGTCTCACTTTCAACATCATCCTCATCATCATCATGCTTGTGTCTTGCCCGGCACTTTCTGTCCACATGCAGATGCTTTGATGAAATATCTAAATGTCTTCTTTTGGAATCACGTAAGCTGGTCATTTTGTGTTTCTTTTTATGCATGCTGATAGACTGTGAATGACGATGTCCTTCGTCACAATCACTTTCAGCACCACGATGAGATTTTCGTTTCTTATGCTTTTTATGTCGCTCACTGGGTGATCTATCATCTCTATCAATGTTACTATTTGATTCTACTTCTGAATGGTCAACTGATATGGAGGAAACACTGTTAACACTTGACTCATCTGTATCTTCATCAGAGGATGTATGTCTCTGCTTCTTCTTCTTCTTCTTAGACTTCTTATTTTTTTGCTTTTTATGATGTGGCATCTTTTCTCTGCAAAACAAAAATTAGAACAAATGAATGAACAAACAAACAAACTTTATTTTCAAAGAGCCTGGGCAAGCAGGCCTATCTAACATTCTGATCTTCTAATCTCCTTCCTTTCATGCATCATTCTTTCATCTGTTAGTAAGTAATATAGTAAATGTTATCAACAGCAGTAAAAATAT